ATATTTACTAAGATTGGTTTCAAATTACCTTGTCTGCAAAAATCATGAGCCCGTAATCAGTTTTTCCTCGAATGACTCTTCCTACACATTGAGCAGCGTGCCTCATGGCATCAAACGTCAGGAAATCATTCTCCCGGATTTGGAACTGATCCCGGGTATATTCTAAGCGGGCCTGTAGATTAAGAGACTCCATTAAGGAGAAGTTCAGAAATATCAAGGTAGTTTTTACTGTTTTTTGCATGATGGAATTGACTTCCAGATTTTGCCGTTTGCTTTATCCATCATCTTCTCTACTTTCAGCATCTCCTGTCACCTCGTCCAGACCCTACAAGCCTCCCTCATCTCTATCACCTCCTCCAGCCTCTGTAGGTACTGCCAGACATGCTGAGGTTGTCCACCACTTTCTTTTCTTTTCAGATTTCCAGCATCTGCAACATTTTGTTTTGCATTTAAAATAAGAGGTCACCCATTTTAAAACAAAAAGTTTTAAAAATGGAGATTAGGAAAAATGTTTTCTATCAGAAGCTGTTTTTAGGATTATTGAACACTTTTAAAACTAGAGGCAGTTAGATTCTTGACTAATAAAGGAGTCAAAGGGTAATCAGCGACAGGTAGACATGTGTAGTTGAGGCCACAGCCAGATCGGCCCATAATCTTATTAAACGTTGGAGCAGGTTTGAAGGGGCTGAATGGTTTAAATTGGCCTCCAAAGTACTTCAGTAACTGGTCTAAGTAGGCTGGTGCACAGCATGGGCCTGTTGTCACATAAGCAGGCTCTCTAAATTGAGGCAAGGAGCAGAAGTCCTGAATAACATTTCCATACTTGATCACAGGGCCACTGAAACCAAATGTAGACTCTCCCCCCCACCACACACACACACACACACACACACACACACGAGACTGAAGCTGCCCATCTTTCTGTCATTCCTGCTGAAACAGGATGCTGGGTGACTGCTGGTGCAGGGTTGAGAGTGGTGAAAGACAAAAGGCTCTGAAATTTTTAGGACAGAAAATCATGTAATTATAGCATTTTTTATAGCTGGTAATGAGATGAAAATGCTTTTAGGCCACTTCAGCTGGGTGGAATTATTAGACTTCAAGAGGATGGAAACATTAATTTTCCCTTTGTTTAACCTTCAATCACCTTAAGTCTGAGAACCAATGCACTTTGTATCAAATCAACAAAGTGGCATCAGCATTGCAGACTTCGGTGCAGTTAGACCCTGACGTATAGGGTGAAGTCCACACTAATGACACAAAATGACTTTGCTGAATTAGGTGCAAAGCACAGTAGATAATGGCAACATTTTGTAAACTATTTTCCAATGTGAGCCCATTTTAACACACCTCCACATTCTCAAGTGTAATCAATGATGGCTAACAAAGACTGACCTTGCTAGTGATGCCCACATCCCATTAATGAATGTAAAAATAACTTCTGAAAATTAACTTAACTCCAAAGTGCCAGCAAAATCAAAACTGCAATAAAACAGCACAGGAACCTTCAATATTCAATTGTTAATGTATATATGTTAGAAATCACAAACACTTATGAAAATATGTGCTTTTAAAGTACTTTGTAAAAATATAATTACTGTCTGTACCCATGTAGCCAAATAATTTATGTGCTAACCCTAACCCTATCGCATTTGAATGAAGACTGAGTGATCCCTTCTTTCTCCACCCACACATACCGCTCTTTCTGCTTTCCCTGTTATGGGAGTGTTTGATGGGGACAGTGCAGAGAGTTTTACTCTGTATCTAACCCGGGCTATGGCCCATCTGTTTGGGGAGGGCTCTGGGTGTTCTAATTGATAATAAAACTATTCATCACATAAGTTAAAAATTGTAAGATATAAACATGCACTGGTGTTCTCAGTGGTTTATTTAGCAGCAGCTCAGAAAGGTACTGTTAATTTTTTCCATACATTGATTCTGTGCTGTGGACTCTTTCTGCCTGTGCTTGTGCTGACTATGCACAGAGCCTCCCATTGTTTAACAGGATATCAACCACATCACCAAATCACCCTAACAGAAATCACCCTGGACAGACGACACCTACCTTCAGAATCCTGCTCTGAGTATAGACATAGGGAACACCAAACATAATGACTGCTCTCCCATAATGATGGACTGTCGGAAAAGACGGAGGAGATAAATATCAATGAACATGAATTGAAACACTGGAATGAGTTGAAGTTAATTGACTAGGATGGCAAAAGAAGAAATACATGTGAAAAAACATGTGGGTAACTTCTGGAACCGGTGACAAAATCAAAAGAAATTCTGCAGATCAGGGAATCAATTATGGGGCAATTGGTGCATCTCTCTCTCATACACACATAAATACCAACCATCCAATGTGCCTCATTTGACACCAAGCTGCATCAGGTCACAATTGTCAGATTGCAATACAATGTGCAGAAATGTGAGGTTATCCACTTTGGTAGAAAAAACACAAATACAAAGTATATCCGAAAGGATGAGAGGTTGAGAAGTGTTGAAGTTCAAAGGGACCTCGGTGTCTTTGTACAAGAGTCACTGAACATTAAAGTGCAGGTGCAGTCCGCAGTGATATTTTGGCCTTTATTACAAGAGGATTTGGCTATAGGAGTTAAAGTCCCTTACTCTAAGAGCCTTGGGGAGACCACACTTGGGAGGATTGCATGCAGTTTTAGTCTCTTTACCCAAGGAAAGTTGCACTGCCACAGAGGGAGTGCAGTAAAGTTTCACCAGACTGATTTCTGAAAGGGAGGAATTCTCCAGTGAGGGAAGACTAAATCAATCGCACCCAGTATCTTCTGGAGTTTAGAAGAATGAGAAGTGAAAATGATCTCATTCAAACAGACAAAACACTTAAAGGGAACCATAGGGTAGATGCAGGAAGGATGGTTCCTCTGGGCTGGGGATGTTGAACCGGACACTGATGATTGAGATGGAGAGGAATTTCTTCACCCCGAGGTCAGTTGAATCTTTGACATTCTCTGCCCTAGAGGCTACGGAAGCTCAGTCTTTGAATATGTCCCAAACTCAGGCTGATAGATTTCTACAAAATTAAAAAAAATCAAGTGATACAGGGGCAGTGCAGGAGGATGTTGTTGAAGTAGAAGATCAGTCATGGTCCCATTGAATTGTAAAGTGGTTTTGAAGGGCCAAATGGACATCTCCCACCATTCTCTTTGTTCTTGTGACCAAAAGCTGATTTTAAGGAGCATCCTAAAAGAGGAGAGAGAGGTGCAACAGTTTTAGGGAGGGAATTCCAGAGCCAAGCGCTCAGGCAGCTGAAGGTACGACTTTCAATGGAAGTCAAACTTGAGAAACTGACACTGTTTATACCGGGGCACAGAAAATATTTAAATAATGATCTTTAAAAACTAGAAAATACTTCAACAGGCTAAATGTTTCCACTGGTTATTGATTCTATGATGGGGGGGTTAAAATAGTCAGAGAGTGAGAAGGAAGGGGTTATTTACACCTTGACTTAGGAACTAGTTAATTCTTTACTACAGGGAGTGGTGGAGGCAAAAATCACTGCACCTTTGGTAAAAGACTGCACCTGCTGCCATCACAACTGCAGGAGGGCTCTCTCTGATGTGCAATCACTGTGCAACATTGCAAGGAATGTCCACATTAAAAAACACTAAAACTGAACAACTGTAATGCTGTAATGCAGTTTGTTCAAAAATTACTTCTTCATTAAAGAGTCAAGTTTTGTTGAGTGGGACAGTGAATAACTGAAGTAGGATGCAAGGCAATGAGGGGAGGGTCAAGTCAGATAGTGAGGTGGAGCAGCAAGGGGAGTGGCGAAGGCATTGAGGGGAAGGTCAAGTGAGATAGTGAGGAGAGCAGAGTATCAAGGGGAGTGGTCACAGAAGAGAGTGGGGTGCCAACAGAGACAGTGAGGTGAGTTGACAGTGAGATGAGGGGAGTTGACGTGAGATAAGGGGTGCAGCAAGTAGGCAGTAGCGAGTGTTCATCACAAACGGGGAGCATGAGGCTGAGGTGTGCAGTATCCCCACCCCGAGATGATATCAGACACAGCGGGTCCTGACTTCCTGTTTCTGACAAACACTGATGACGTCAGTAGCACTGACCTCCTGCCCCGATGCCGTGGCAGGAAATCGAGTGTTTGTCAAAATCTTGGATGAGCGAGTGGGGCAGTGGGATTGATTATGGACTTAATAACGAAGAATTGGTGCTAACTCAATGACCAAATTTTCTGCTATCACTGTACAGATATGAAGAGGAATCTTCCTTAGTTAAATACGGAGCTATTCTCAACAGATACTCAGACTAATCAAGAGATCAGACTGGCATTTTACAAAATCTACAAGTGATATTCACCCAAAGCATCAAATACACATTCAACTCTCCTGATGCCAAGGTGAATTACACACTGATAAAGCCTTAGTGGAATAATAGTTTCTCAGCAGAATTATCTATCCTGATGAAATATTGCATGATTAGGCAGACTGTGATCGTTCAGGAGATGCTGAAAACATGTGTAAAAGCTGCCCTCACTGGTGTCAGAAACGAGCACTTGATCAGCCATCTGTCTGACCACCTCCACTTTTCATTCTCAATGATACAAAGGAAGCTGTGTGTAAATCAGATGAAATGGAAATTGGTAGACTGATTCTGCTACTTTCTGAATTTTACATGCCTGTGTGTTGACCAATTTAATAATTACACTGCACATTGATGAGGCAGGGACTCACATTTCACTCACTACCCTCACATCACAAGTGTCACAATTATTTTTGTCACTGACCAAAATCTATCCCCTCGGAGACCTTTCCTCTGGCGACCGACAGTAGGATGGCCCCTCGTCCATTCTCACATGCCTGCCAATGGAACAGAAACGTTACTGAGCAGCAGCTGACAGGAAGGAATCGCAGCATATCCATGGAAAATGCAGCCACAGCTAATTCAAGCAGTCATAAAGTCACACAGCAGAAAACAGGCTCTTCAGTCCATCAAGTCTGCACTGACCTATCTATACTAGCCCCACTTTCCAGCACTGGGCCTAGAGCCTTGAACTTATGGCATTTCAAGTGCTCATCCAAGCACTTATTATTTTTTTAAGAAAGATTGAGGGGTTTCCCAGGCAGTACAGTCCAGATTCCCATCACCCTGTGAGTGAAAAAATCTTTTCCTCAAATCCCCTCTAAACCTCCTGTCTTTCACCTTAAAGTTATTCCCCTTTTAACTGACCCTTCAACTAAGGGGAACAGCTGTTTTCTATCCGCCCTGTCCATGCCACTCACAATCTTATACACCTCAATCTGATCCCCTCTCAGCCTTCTCTGCTCCAAAGAAAACAAGCTGAGCTTATCCAGCCTCTCTTCATAGTTAACCTCCTACAACACAGGCAACATTTTGGTGAATCTCCTCTGCACTCCATCCAGATTGCTTTCTGGTCTGTAACTCACTGTCGTCTGAAGGGACTAATTCCTTGCTAGGAATGTTTCTACACTAGTTAGCTGCAAGGAAATAATTAGCCAAATGACAAGTCTTCCAGCATGAGCCGAGACAACTGACCTGTGGAGGGCATTAATCCAGTGTCTAACCTGCTTCATCAGATACCCCAGCATATTTAATACCCTTCACGGTCTCTGGACAGCAGTCAGGACCCACTTGCCTAAATAAACACAGATTGCGGATTGACATCTGCTGAATTCTGTGGTTAAGTATCCACTTGTAATGTTATTGCTCATTGTGTGGAGTGTGCTAAAACTCTCACTCTGTGAGGCCCTTGAAATATTTTTAATCAGCCACACTTACACTTGATCGGGGCCATCTTCAATGTGGCCTCTTGTGGGTTCGTGCAGATTGCTAAGTACACAGGAACCTCACTCACTGCATGAATTACCCAAGTATAAACTAAGCTCACACCCCAGAATGGAGCCAGGGAGCACCGCACAGTTGGAGGGTCAGCGTCGAGGGAGCGCTGCACAGATGGAAGGAACCATCATGTCAGTGAGATGTTGTTAAGGTGACCATCCTATTTGCCTGTCTAGGTGCACATAAATGAGAATGGAGCAGAGTGCTCTCGAGATCAAGGCTATTTTAGCTCCCTTGACCACTGGTGTATAATTGATGGTCAACTATCAACACTGATAACATCAGAATGTTCAGCTCTTGCCTCGAATGTTTCACCACCAACCACATCCCCCCACCCCACCCTTCAGTCTCACTCACCTCCTGGTATTTCTCCAGGGCCACACTGGTCTCTGCAGCATCCTGAGTTTCAATAAATATAAGTTTGTTACGTTGAATATTTTCTAGAATTCCCTAAAAGGAAAAATGGGAAAAAAAAAGGAGATGTTTTCTTAGCCCAGTCTTGGGACAAGTGATAATATTTGGCACAAAACAGATACTGCTGAAAATACTGAGCTTGCCAAGCAGTATCTGTGGAGAAAGGATCCAAGTTAGCATTTTGCCTTGAGGACCTGGTGAACGAACTGGAATAAGTTAGAGATTTAAAAGGACAAATTTGCTTTTTAATCGAAATTCAATCCCACCTCCCCTTCTCCACCCTGCCATGTCCGCTCCAACAGAAACTTGTGGAATAAGGAGTGAACTTTCGATTAAGCAGTTTACTCTGCTCTGGATGAAATGCTGAGAGACAATGTTCTCAACAACTTGAGAGAGATCCCTGAGATAACAGCAAGGGGTAAAACAGTTTAATCCAGTGTTTACAAGTAAAAGGAGCCTATTCTTATTGGATCTCTAGGACAGGATTCTGACCTGAAAGATTGAGCTGTTATGATTCGCCCACCATTTAAAAAAAAAATTCCAGCAGTTAAAGGGGCCACACGGTTCATGCTTACTTGGAACTCCACAACACTTTGTCGGAGCTGACAACCCAACTGAGAGGGGAGGGGGTCACAACCCATGGGTTGGGAAGCCCTGTTCTCAGAATGTATTTACTTTTTTTACTTTTTCCAACACCATCTCCTTTTGCCATGCACCTTCATCCTGGTATTGATTTAATCACTCCTGCCTTCCATTCTATCATGGAACTTCTCTTCTGGTCTGTTCCCCCATCCACCTCTGTACTTATTTATACCCTGTGACATCTCCAACATTTTCCAGTTCTAATTAAAGGTTATTTTTCTGTTATTGAATTTTGGTACCTGAGCCTAGGTAATTAGTCAACTAAGAATATAAACAGATTAACCAGGAAAGGGAGATTGAGAAGGAAAGGAGAAGGAAGAGCAATTGAGGGAAGTAAAGGACGAACAACAAAACACAAACATCCAACTAGTCAAGAACAGGAGAAAGAACATACATATACCCCACGTACATCCAATCATGTACACACCAGTACAAATGTACATATCCATGGACAGGTAGGCAGTCTGACACATATGTACATCTTATGTGATGAACACCACACGATGAACAGGAATTAGAACCATGTCTAATTTTGGCTACTTGCACAAGCCAAAAGGGACTGAGCAACATCTATCATCAGCAGATCAGTTAACTCAGGATAGAGCACAATTTGGAACAGAGGTTTGGCAGTCAATGGCTGCCCTCAGCTGGGGCATTCTCTCAAGTTACACTGAGGAATGTTAAAAAAAAATCTCCTTGACCCAGGGTGCAACCTGTCCTTGTTGGGATACGCCATGCCGTGAATCATCAGCTGCTGTGAATGAAAAGCCTGTCGTTTACCTGCTCATACCAGGAGGCTACGATGTTCTCCATGTAATGGTAACTAGTGAAGAAAGACACAATTCCATCTGGGACAACGGCTGACATCTCCAGCAACAGGTTACCATAGTTACGGATCACAGCTGGAGCCAAGAGAGAAAACTCAGTTATCATCAAAAGTTGCAATTACTGAGGAACCCAAGTGAAAAGTGAAGTGCCTCTTTACGAAAAGTGGAGAGTAGCAATTGCCTTGCAAGCAATCTCAGCAACTGAGAAAGTGTGGAAATTGTCAGAACAGGAGGCAGTGTGTGTGTGTGTAGGGGGCAGGGAACTGGCTGGAGAGGTTGAATGGTCTTTTTCTGTTCCAATGGTAAGACAGGGGTTTTGGACGAATCGGGAGAAAATTCAAAGAAACAACAATTTGGGTGGAAAGACTGATTGAGTGGGTGCAAACCAAACAATAGACTCACTGCTGCCCGATACCTGCCTCCTGCACACTCTCTGCTTCTTGCTCTGACTCACTTTCCCTGAGATTTGACAACATCAACACTTTCTCAGTTTCTTTTTGGGTAAGATAATTTTGTCCCAAAACTGTAGTTACTACACAGGAACTTGGTGAAATTACTGTAACCAGGGGAGATGGTATTAAGTAAACTGATGGGATGAAAGGCAGATCATTCCCGCAGGCCAAATGGGCTGCACCCTATGGTATTAAAGGATGTGGCAGCAGAAATAGTAGATGCATTTGTTATGATTTTCCAAAATTCCCTGGATTCTGAACAGGTACCAGTAGACTGGAAACATGTTAATGTGACACACTTATTCAAAAAATTAGACAGGCAAAAACTGGGAAACAGTAGACCAGTTAGTTTGACCTTCTACAGTGGGGAAGTTGCTGGAATCAATCTTAAAGAAGATAATTGAACACTTAGAAAAACAAAGCTCAATTTATCTGCGCCAGCACGGTTTTATGAAGGGCAAGTCGTGCTTGACAAACTTGCTGTAGTTCTTTGAGGATGTAACCAGAAAGGGGATAATCGGGATTTGGTGGATGTGGTATATCTAGACTTCCAGAAGGCATTTGACAAGGTGCAGAATAAAAGACTGATCCAGAAGGTTAGATGCCAGGGGGTTAAGTATTGGCTTGAACAGAGGACTGGCTGACTGACAGTAAGCAGAGGGTCAGGATACATGGATCCTTCTCTGGATGGTGAACTGTAACCGGTGGGGTGTCGCAGGACTTTAACTATTTACAAACTACATAAACGACCTGCAGAAAGGGACAGAGTGTAACATAGCAAAGTTCATAGATGTTACTAAAATAGGTGGGAAAGCAGGTCGTGATGAGGAGATAGAGTTTACAAACAGATATTGATAGGCCGGGAGATTGGGCCAGAATCTGGCAGATGGCGTTTAATGTGGATGAGTTCAAGGTTGCCCATTTTGGCAGAAGGGCAAATTATTTAAATGGGAAGCAGATTCAAAGTGTGTCAGTACAAAGGAGTGCTGGTGTCCAAGTGCACAAATCACAGCAAGTGGGGTATGTAGGTGCAGCTTATAATAAGGAAGGCAAATGGAATCCTGGCATTTATTGCAAAAGGACAGGATTATAAAATTGAAGAAGTGTTATAATTATATAAGGCGTTGGTGAGACCATAGCTGGAGTACTGTGTCCAATTTTGGTCTCCTTGCTTGAGAAAGGATGTGGTGACACTGGAGGCTGTTCAGAGAAGGTTCACCAGATCGATTCCAGAGATGAAAAAGGGCTGTCATACGAGGAGCGGCTGAATAACTTGGGCTTGTACTCCCTAGAGTTCAGTAGACTGAAGGGGATCTGATTGATGTGTATAAAATGCTGAAGAGGAATGATAAGGTGAATGTTGAACAAATGTTCCCCCTTTGGACAGTCTTAAACAAGAGGGCATAGATAGAGAGCGAGAGGAGGTTGGTTCAAACCTGAGATGAGGAGAAACCACTTCCCTCAGAGGGTTGTGAATCTGTGGAACTCACTGCCCGAGAGTGCAGTGGAGGCAGAATCAATCAACAGATTCAAGAAAGTATTCAATATGTTTCTGATGAAAACTGGGATAAAGGGCTATAGGGAGCAGACAGGAAAGTAGAGGTGAGACTAGGATAAGATCAGCCATGATCATATTAAATGGTAGAGGGCTCGAAGGGCTCCCATTCCCAATTCCTTTGTTCCTATGCTTGAAACTACTTCAAGGTTTTAATTATAGAATAGAACTCCTACAGTGTGGAAACAGGCCATTCAGCCCAACATGTCCATACCAACTCTCTGAACAGCATCCTACCCAGACTCACCCCCTACTCTATTCCTGCTGCTGTCATGGCTAATCCATCTAACCTACACATCTGTGGACTGACAGGAATCCAGAGCATCAAGAGGAAACCCAAGCAGACACAGGGAGAAAGCACAAACTCCACACAGACAAGGCTGGGATTGAACCCAGGTCCCTGGCGTTGTGAGGCAGCAGTGCTAACTGCTAAACCACTATGCCGCCCCCAATAGGCCAGAGATTGTAGGAGTGATTGAAGACGGAGGAAGAAAAGTGACAAGCTTTCACACTCTCAACTGGCAAAGAATTTAATTAAATTCTGGATAGTCAGTGTTGGGTTGATCTGCCAGAAGTGGTCTAAACAATGTCAAGTATTTCTGCAGGGAGTCGCTATTTCTGCCTCAGACAAAGGACTGATGTAAACTCAAACACGAGGTGGTTACTCAACTGTCTAGGTTTCAGTTGGGGCTGGGAGGGGCTCCTGACGGTTGTAAGCAGGCCTAAGATGGATGCATCTACTCACAGTGGGATTGCCAACTCACTCACCGATATCCTCTCTCGTTTCAAACTTGGAGCTGATCGTCACCTGGTCATTGCCTCGTCCCACAATCTGGAAAGAACACGAGAAACTGAGAGGCATCACTAAATCACAGGGAGAACTCTTAAAGTGCAGGAACAAAACAGCCGTAAAGATTACAGAACCGGGGACAAGAACAGCTTTACACGAATTGGTTCGGAAGGTAACCCCGTCACTTTCACAGAACCACGGAACTGTTAGGGTTCAGAAAGACACCATCAAGCTCTCTAAGCATTTTAGCTCCTGCATCTTCCCCATAATCCAATACTTTTGTCTCTATTTAAGTAATTATCCAATGCGCTCTTGAATGCCCATACACAAGAGCAGCAGGGTAAGAGAGCACAGAGTCAAGGTGTGAAGGGCAAAGCCAGGAATTAATTCCTTACGCAGGGGCAGAATTCCAAAGTGTTACTAGGGAGAACAGCATCCACCCTGGATTCACTCAGAAAACAGTTTGAAGGGGAGAGGGGTGGCATCAAACATCAGAGAGGCAGAGCCATCTGTTCTTTGTTTAAACTGACAATGTGTAGAAGCCTATGCAACATCAGATAGATGTGCCAGTGGAACTCACGCACTGATTCCGTGAGGAATTCCAGCACAATGTCGGGATCATTGTGGTATGTGTTTCTCTGAGTTGGATCTTTGCTACACAATGATTTAAATAGGGATTTAAATACTCAGAGAAAACTAGTTTGTTGCTTGTAGCATTGCACATGTTGAGTTGTTTTTTTAAAATAATGTGGAAAAAGCTTTGGGAAAGAAACTTCAGACATTTTCTCCACAAAGTCATCTGGCATTAGATCTCATTGCTGGTAGAAAAGAGAGATCCTAAACCTAAAAATAACAACAGAAATTAAAGTTTATAAAGGAATGGTGAGACTTATATGTGCTGTTTAACAAGAAGCATAATGATAGATTGATTCAGGCAGACTCACCAGTGGACAAAGGCAGGTTCTTGACAAGGTCATAGTAAACGTTGCCATGATAACGGGTCTGAAATCGAGGATCTTTGGGTACATGTCGAGTGGAGACAAGGTCTAGCAAAAACACAACAAAAAAAAACACAAAGTATTATTTCAAACCAGGAGGTTTCAGAAAGGAGAGCAAAAAGACAAAATGCCACTTCTCTTTAACAGAAGGAAGAGCAGCTGCCAGTTTAACTGATTCTGGGAAGGGCAATGCCAAAGAGTCAGGCCAGAGCAACCAAATGATTAGAATTGGCTTCTGATGGTGTAACTGACATTAGCAATGCATCAGAATTACAACAGTAAGGAATATGATAAGAAGCAACATAAAGGACAGAGAGATCTAAAAAGGGCTATGAGGACTTTAAGGACATTGAAAAAGTATTTAGAAGTGTATTTGCAATGCCAAGGCATTCAAGGCTATGGGCCAAGTGCTAGAAATCGGATTAGAATAATTAGGTGCTCGTTACTGACCAGTGCAGACTCGATGGACAGAAGGGCCTTTTTCTGTGCTGTAGACCTCTGAGGACAATCTTTGGAAGACAGTATACATTATATACACTGTAATTATAGAGAGTTGCATATAATGATAACACCAGGATTTCAATAACGTGCACACTGTTTGTGTTAAATTTATGTTTGCTCACATTAAGCATGTACAAGGGAGATACAGGATATGTTGAAGAGCTACATGTAGAGTGTGAAAGGAGGCTTAGATAGAACGTAAAGACCAGAATTGACCAGTTAAGCTGAGTGGCCAGTCTTTATGCTATTAATACTTTGTTATTATGAGAAACATCAAATATCAGAATTATCAATTTTACCCTCTTAATTTGGATCATGTCTAAAGACACCAGTATATAGATATATATCAGACAGAGAATGGTAAAATGATTGGGTACAAGATGAGTGGGAACAGTGATATGGATTAATAGCAGTGCATAGCAAATGCATCATGCAATACGGAAACAAACTATTTTAAGTGAAACTAACTGCTTCAATCTCAATTCACAACATATCTTTAATGATAAGTCTGTACAAAAGTATAAATGTAAATAGGAGATTTGGATATCACCAAGCCACAGAAACAAAATCACATTTCAATTACATAAATAAAAATTGTGCAACTTACCCCTGAGGTGATAATCACAGATTGGAATCGCTCAAACACAGGCTTGATGGCAATGGATGGGTCCATGCAGCTTATAAAAAGATTTCAAAAACCTTAGGAGCTTATTTCAAATAAACAAATTTTATTTGTACAAAATTTCATTAACCCTTTCTTGCCTGGACTAGTTTCCAATGTAGCCTTAATATGCCACAGAGCTATATTGGTGGAACAGCATCTCATTTACGTGGTATAACGATCCTCTCATTTACCATAAGGTGTAATCTTGCAGATAGTCTAGTGAGAGAAATATCTAAAATATTCTTCGAAGTTATGAAATATGTGTATAATTCTAATCCATAATTTTGAGTACTATTTTCTAAATCAATGTTTGAAAGTGAATTTTCTTAATGCGAACAACTTACGAAAGGGAAATTCTACATGCGAACAGTGGTGGGTCAGGCTGCAGGTGCAGACCTCTGACCAATAGGTGGCAATGTGACAAAAGGTTATGGTCTTCCATTAGAGCCATACAGCACAGAAACTGACCCTTCAGACCCTTCTGCACCAACCAGATATCCCAATCTGACCTAGTCCCATTTGCCAGCGTTTGGCCCATCTCACTCTAACCCTTCCTAGACATATACCCATCAAGATGCCTTTCCAATGCTGTAATTGTGCCCAACTCCACCACTTCCTCTGACAGCTCATTCTATGCATACACTTATTGAAGTTCTATAGTAAAAGTAAAAAGATCAGTTCTACTACAATAGCAGTGTTGTGAACAATCTGACCAGGCCCTTAATTTTCAATGTCAACTATCATCTAGACAGTGATGAGCTGACTCTACACAAGCAGGAAGTTAATTTCGCAAATGGAAATTAAACCCTATCTGCTCTATACTACTACTTTTCACACCAGCCTGCGCATTTATTGTCAAAGCCATTCAGGGAACATGTGAAGAAATGACCAATGCTGGATCTTGTCTGGTGTCACTGGTGGGCAGTGTAAGGTCTGATGTCCTGCTACTGGCCTATCCCTTCAACACTGCTGCTCAAGCACTCTCTACAGCACCTCAATAAAACAGGAAATACAGAGCTGAATTCGAGGTCAGTAAGTCTTGCTTACTTTAGACTCCAGGTTAGACACAGAAAAGAAAAGGAAGAAAGCCAAAGATCGATCTGCATCAGCAAGTACAACCATGATGGATGGAACACATCTGGATAGAAGTCTTGTTAGACTGACGAAGTTAGACAGATTATATTAATTAGTTGAGTTAGATGTGATTAAATAAACGAGATTCAGTTTGATTTGATAAAACATTGCCAACACCAGACATCCCACATGGCTGCAGTAAATGTCAGATTACAATCGGACCTAATCAGACATTGTGTCTCTAATTCCTGCACCCTTGCTCACACTCAAACCTTCAGAATGGTTGTAAAACATTTAATAACCAAGGCCAGACAGTGACATCATTCAAAAGTTACTTGTGGCAGAAACTGAATTCTAATCCTTTGACCTATTGATCGTTGCCAAATATAAATAAAACTGCACTTGGATATAGATAAAAGGAAATTTCAGTCCCTAATGATTGGAAGGATCTTCATGAGGTAAGTATCTCTCAGTATCAGTTGAACAACCTTTAAATTTCGAGGGAGACCAATACTGAGCCCACTTTAGCAGTAAATTAGCAATCTGATTTGGGGATAAAATAAAGAGCTATTATTGTAGGAGGGCAGAGCACATCTTTGCCCTGCATCCTGTGCCATACTAGATTGCAGAGTTGGTAAAATGAAAACAAAACCCTCAATGTAATTCCAAAAATATAACAAAAACCTTCTCAGTTGACCAAAGTAATTTGTGCAGATTTCAGTTTACCTGAAGTGAAGTACTGGATTAATAATCGTTGGAGTTTTGTCATCAAAAGGTTCCATGATGATGGTGAAACCTTGGGTAGCAAACACAAACACCATGAAAACATTTTAGTCAAACAGCAAATTGCCCAGATGAAGGGCTGCACAATAACCCAGGATTTGGACCTTATCACGATTTACTGACATCCTTTGCTACATTAGGAACCACAAACATATGAAACAAGGGCAAAACCAACTGAACCATTCCCTTTTGATCCTTGACTTGGAGAGAGCGGAGTAACAGATACCGTGTAAGGGTATTGGTCTGCAAAAGCTTCCTGCTGACAGTTTTGTCTGCCTCACTCAAAGAACAAAGAAAATTACAGCACAGGAACAGGCCCTTCGACCCTCCAAGCCTGCGCCGATCCAGATCCTCTATCATCTAAACCTGTCGCCTATTTTCCAACGATCTGTATCCCTCTGCTCCCTGCCCATTCATGTATCTGTCTAGATACATCTTAAATGACACTCACCATCCTCTGCGTAAAGAACTTTCCACGCATATCTCCCTTAAACTTTTCCCCTGTCACCTTGAAATCGTGACCCCTAGTAATTGAGTCCCCCACTCTGGGAAAAAGCTTTTTGCTATCCACCCTGTCTATACCTCTCATGATTTTGTAGACCTCAAATCAGGTTCCCCCCATCAACCTCCATCCTTCTAATGTGAATAATCCTAATCTACTCAACTTCTCTTCATAACCAGCGCCTTCCATACCAGGCAACATCCTGGTGAACCTCCTCTGCACCCTCTCCAAAGCATCCATATCCTTTTGGTAATGTGGCGACCAGAACTGTATGCAGTATTCCAAATGTGGTCGAACCAAAGTCCTATACATCTGTAACATGACCTCCCAACTCTTGTACTCAATACCCCGTCCGATGAATGAAAGCATGCCATGTGCCTTCTTGACCACTATCGACCTGCGTTGCCACCTTCAGGGTACAATGGACCTGAACACCCAGATCTCTCTGTGCATCAATTTTCCCCAGGGCTTTTCCCATTTACCGTATAGTTCGCTCTTGAATTGGATCTTCCAAAATGCATCACCTCACATTTGCCTGGATTGAACTCCATCTGCCATTTCTCTGCCCAACTCTCCAACGTATCTATATTCTGCTGCATTCTCCGACAGTCCCCTTCACTATCTGCTACTCCACCAATCTCAGTGTCATCTGCAAACTTGCTAATCAGATCATCTATACCTTCCTCCAGATCATTTATGATCATTACTCATCAGCAGACAGCTGGAGCAGAGAATCTCTGGCATGACACAAGGTAAATCACCTCACTCCGACAAAAAGAACCCCCCCCACATGAACCATCTCAGATTCTCCTTGAGCATCTTCTATAAGCAATTCGCAAAGAAAGACTGACAGGAAACCTCTTCTCAGCGCAAGTTGCAGAGATCCTGAAGGGTCAGTATCCAAAGTATCTGGAAAGAGTTCACAGAGCCTTACAGCCATTAAAGCACAACAGGTCGTCATTTGGCTCATCGAATCTATGCCAGCTCTCTTATATATTAATCTAATTTTTTTTTTAAGGTGTAATTCCCAATTATTGATGTCTGCTCCTGATAGAATCACTTCTTCATTGATTTCCTTCCCTCCTCACCTGAAGATGTTGGAAATGGCTGGAAACAGATACATGGCTGCCACTGGTTTTATTATTTTACCTGACTGCTCAGTTTCCATTGAGATTTAACACGAATGAAACATCAGCATGGTGTTTGAACCCATTTCCCAGAAATCTAGAGTGTATTCGAATCACTCAGCAAGTCAGGGGGCCTCAGTGAATAGATGGAAGTACACTTTCAAGTTGTCACTGACTGAAATATTAACCCAATCTTTATCCATTCCCTAGAAGGATTCTGTCCAACTAAATGCTTCAGCATTTGCCTCAGACTGAGACATGCACATTAGCAGAGTTTTTGTTTGCCTAAATTGGAGGCCACACACACTTCCCGTAGGAAAATACCCTACTTCATCCAACTCTTGGCACTTGGACTCAGTCTGATGAGGGTCAAGGCCTCCAGATTCCCTAAATAAGCACAAATTTCATTATTTAACTGTGTTCAGATTGCTGGCAGAGCATCGCAAGTTTCTTGGTCTGCAGCCAGGCCAAATGTCTGCCATTTCGAAAACTTGGTTACGAAATTACATGGAGACCAACACAAAGAAGCACAACAGAGCTCACCTACAGTCAAGACAGCCTGGAATCTAATGTAACTGCCTGTTTTGGGAGTCAGACAACTGAAGATTCACTCAGCTTTACTCACCAAAGGTACTGCAATAACCTTATCCCAAATGCATCCTTTCAATCCATCATGTGTGCTCGTTGATAACATTACAAACATCAACAGTCTACTTGACCATGTCATGGAGAAGAGGAATCCCAGGCTGGCCCCATCCTACACAATTATTTTCCAGCTGATATCCTGCCAGCATCCAAGATCAGGAACTGTCCATTGTTCAGGGGCACTGAGGTTAACTGCAATTCCTTCTGTTATTCACTAACTTAGCACAAATCAGGGGCTCAAAAGCCTTGCGATGCCTTTGAAGTATGAACCCAATGATAAAGCACTAAGTAAAGTGTCCAATACAAGAATCACTACCTTTGGCGTAAGTGCTGACCAATGTAGCAAAGTTCGAGACAAGTATAATAGGTGAAAAGTTGCTGAGATCGGCAATTTCCAGTGTCTGCAGCAAAGACCGCAACCTCTCTGAGCAGAACCTGTAGTGAGAACGAGAGAGAGACACACACAGGACATGGATAATATCATTTCTCTGACTGCATCCAAAACTAAGTTGCAAGTGCCATTATGTCGAACAAATATTAAAAGGAATCACAATCACAAACCAGTTCACTAGACAGTGAAAGGGAGCTCTGGTTGATTTGCCATTTCCATACATAGGTAGGCAGTGGTATAAAGGACCAGTAACCCAGAACACCAGGCTATAGTTCTAAGGGTATTTGAATCCCACCAAGGCACGTGGTGAGATTTGAATTCAATAAACAATCTGGAATAGTAAAAGCTAAAGATGACCATGTAACTACTGTTGATTGCTGTTAAAACCCCGCTGAATCTCTAATGTCCTTTAGGGAAGGAATCTGCCATTCCATACCTGGTCTGGTCCTAGATACAACTCCCAACACACAGTAATGTGGTTGACTCTTCATGGCAATTAGGGATGGGCAATAAATGCCAGGCCTTGCCAGTGAGACTGATCCTCTGAATTAAGAGAAGCAAGTTTCTAGGTTCAGTCCTCAATATTTCCAGATTTAGCAGACCGTAACTGAGGAGGGAACGCGGAGGTTGGTACTGGTTTCCCATCCCAGTTGGGAAGTTATCAGCTTCTGATCCCTATTCACCATGAATCCAGGTCTAACACTTGGTTTGTGGCCTTACAATGATCCAATAACCTGCATACACAATATTTGAAGCTAACACCAGTAAAAGTGACGACGAGTTATCAGAGTTTTGGCAAAACCTAAAGACATTTAGAGACAGAAACCTACTGTCTGTGATTACAGTCCCCACCATCATCACTGATGCTTAATAGCTTCTCAAGAGGCTTTCCAAGGCACTTGTATCAAAAATCTCAGGGCAACTTGAACTGAGCAGTAAATGTCAACCTTGCAAGTGATGCCCTCAGATTGACAACAAATCATTAATATCCAGGTTCATCTGAAGAATGGACACTTGGCTAAGGTGCCAATGGCTATGGGCCAGTGTTCCTCAGCACTATCAGGAGCGAAGGAGAAACGAGAAAAACTGGATTAGTCCAGGATTCATACCTGAGAGGTTTGCGTTCAATGCAGACTTTATCAAAGACGTCCTTCAAGAAAGAGGGTGGGTTCTCAGCTACCACATGGTGTACTCGGAGGCGGGACTTCAGATACTCCACAAATCGCTTCATAAACCCAACAAAATGTTCAGCTGTGCGAATATTACCAGGAACAGACTCTGGATTCACAAGGAAATAAATTGTGATTAATGCTCAGCTCCATTCTTCTGAATCCAGGTGAGGAGGTAGGATCCAACAAGGATGAACGACAGAGGTGAAAAGACCATGAAACAAGCAATTTGTTATATGATGTGGGCAGACAGAATGGAAAAGGAATTCAAGTCTGAACCAAGAGGCCTTGAAACAGCTGACATTGAAGAAGGTGGGGTCCAAAGTCAATGGGTAAAATATAGTTACATTTGCAAGGTGCCCAGGAGATAACTTTTGGAAAAAAAGGGAAGGAAATCGGACATGGATTGGTGAAATAATTTCAATCAGGGTGCAGTACTCTGCAGCCTACCATAGTCTATAGAACAGTTTGAGTGAAAGCGTGTACAAGTTCATGAACACTTTGCAATTTCTTTCATTTACCGTACCTTGTAGAATTTCGTCTGGCAATACAGGATTGGCTAAATAGACATCTGTTTCTCTGGCAATGTGAGCTTCTTTCAGTCCCTCCACCAACTGTCTGTATTCTTCTTTCAGTTTGGCAGCATCTGTTTCCTTTATACTGGAGAGAGAAACCGTTGTTTGGCAAGAGGATTAACAGCCATTGAGTGAACATCTAATGTGTGAGAAAACACGTCTCCATTTTGAGCATTTCTAAACTCATATGCTGAGAAATCCACTTGAGTAAGTTTCCTAATCCAAATGGAAACTTTCCCTGAAGGTCACAGGAATTGTCTGAATTGACATAAACCACCAATTTTTACATATCAGCAATCACTCCATCAGCGAGCATTGCATAGAATTGCTGAAATTTACAGATCACAAAACAGGCCTTTCAGTCCAAATGATCCATGTTAGTGGTTACGGACCACATGAGCCTTCTCACACTCTCCTTATTTAAGCTAACCTTGAAGGTTCTTGTAGTGCAGAGGTACTGTCCCTGCCTCTGAACCAAGAGGACCAGGCTCAAGTCCCACCTGCTGTACAGCAGTGTCATAACATATGCAAATAGATTAATTATAAATATCTACTTAAGCTCATCTTCTGTTGTCTTCTTCCTCACATCTATCCATTTTAGCCTTAAATGTATCTATGCCATTCACACCAAAAATTCAAATTTAGAAACGAGTTGCATATTCTTACTGTTCTCGGAGTACAAAAAAAAATGTCTTGGCATCTGCCTAAATGTAATCGCTGCATTCTGTCCCTGTCCTGGTGAGTATCTTGCTATTGCTCAGAGTTTTCTCCACCTCATCGATATACTGCCGTTCTTCATCAGTCCCACGCTTGTCAGCAGCCAAGTGGAAGAGTAATATTTTTCTAGTCCATCTAGTTCCTAGGTCTGGCAGCAATTGTGTGATGGGAAAGAGAGTTAATGTTTCAGGTTGATGACTTTTCGGATGATGAAAAGCTATTAACCTTAAGTATTAAACCATTTTTTCTCTCTACAGAAGCTGCCAAACTAACCAAATACCTTCAGTATTTCCTGATATTATTTCAGATTTCCAGTATTCCCATTCTTTGGTTTTATTGCGCTCTTGTCTGGTGGTTTAATCTATTCTCGGCCAAGTCACTGCTGCACAATGAGCCATAAAGAAAACGATCGAAATGCTGACTGAATGACTTACTGTTGGATGGTCTTTTGTATTGTTTCAATGTTGTTCTGACATTGGTCTAACATACGTCGGGTAATGTTCACACTCATTGAGTCAATGCATACATTGTCTGCAAAGCATTTGTAGAAACGACGTGTTAAAAACAGTTTTGTTTTCAAATATACGAGCATGTTTTTAGAAAGAACATAACAATCAGAAAGCTGTAGAACTCAGTAATCAATTGACTAGATCTATAGTTCTGAGATGGAATCCTGATCAGTTCAGACAGAAGAGCTTCCATGTTTGGCTGCTGCAACAGCATTTTATCTTTGCAAAATAAACCTAAGACACACTCACTCCAGATCCAGAGAATAAAATTTTATTCATCTTACTCAGACACCCATAGGATGACCGGGGCGACTAATAAGGACCAGTATTGAACTTACAGGTTATGGGCACATGGTTTGCTAAGGTGTTCTGCACCTGACAGAAACTTTGTACAACTGAAATAAAAAAGGATCACAAATACATAAAACACCCCACAATATAATTACAATTAGATATTTTATTACAATATATTGCGAATTTCAGTATAATAACATACCAATATTGTGAGCCTCATCAAATACCACCACAGATTTCCGTGACAGCTCCTTGGAGACCAGGTCTGCAATCTTGGGGTCCAGTAGGTAGTGATAACTGTACACAATGATGTTCGCATGCAGAATCTGACAAAAGTATCACAAAGCTGATGCATTGTTAGATTAGAAGCAGTCAAATAACACATGATCCTAAAACATTTCACCACTCATCCTGAAGACACCAACATCTGGTTTGAACCGATCAATAGGGAACTGCTCGATCTCTGGAACTTTAACTGAGACACCTCTGGAGATAGTTAATCCTAGTGGCCTACCATTGCACTGTCCTGTTCAATCCTGATGCTGTTCTGATCCAAACTCCCCAAACCCAGCGACACTGTCACTGGCATAAACAGAGACAGGTGTATGCATATTCATAGTTACTTATCCACATGTACAACCACACCTCCATACAGATCATGGAGGGGCATTAGACAACAATCACAAGAGCATTGGGAGACGTTTTCCCCAAGTCTTTAGCCGAGCCTGCAAATGACTGCATCACCCAATCATCGTCTCAGCAAAGAACAAAGAAAAAAGAACAAAGAACAAAGAAAATTACAGCACAGGAACAGGCCCTTCGGCCCTCCAAGCCCGCGCTGATCCAGATCCTCTATCTAAACCTGTCGCCTATCTTCCAAGGATCTCTATCCCTCTGCTCCCTGCCCATTCATGTATCTGTCTAGATACATCTTAAATGATGCTATTGTGCCCACCTCTACCACCTCCGCTGGCAACGCGTTCCAGGCACCCACCACCCTCTGCGTAAAGAACTCTCCACGCATATCTCCCTCAAACTTTTCCCCAGACTCAGGGAAGGTTGAAGCTGAAGCACAATATTCCAGGTAGTCTGGTTTAGATCCTGCCTCTGGAGTGGGAATGTGTGGATTTTGAGGGCGATCAGGACCAGGACCTATTCTGACAAAGGATGACTGGAATCGAAATGTTAATTCTGATTTTCTATCAACAGATATTACCAGACCTGCTGAGTTTCGCTAACACTCTCTAAGCTATGATATTTTCTAGAGAAGAAATCCATCAGTGCACCTTGAAGCTTGTTCAGTAAACCAAGTGCAAGGTCAAGGGTGCAGTACAGAGTCAATGCTTTAGCTTGAAGAGAATTGGATACTGAAACCCTTGGGGAAAAGAACTGTCACCTGCCAAAGGGAAAAGGCAAAATTCACTTACAGAATATCTGGCCAAGAAATATGGACACCATCCCTTCTGCTTCCCATAAACTTTCAAGTCATCCAGGTTATAAATTCCAGAAGTTAGCGGCACTTGTTTCCCATGGAGATCAAACTCCTATCAGAGAAAATGCACACATGCATACTGCAGAATCAATCACTCAGTGAGAAAGCTAATACAGTGACTGATGTTAACAAGCTGGAGGTATCATCAGTCAAATTAAAAAAAAACAGCATAACACGGACGAGCTTGAGTTTAAAAAATGTAAACTGCAGTTTGTAGACAGGAGATATGATCGAGGGAGGAAAGGAGGGAGAGAGACAGAGGACAGCCAGAGATAGGGACAAAACGGAAGGAATATGAAGGGCTCTGACGGTAGCAACTTCTAAACCTATGACTTCTATCACCTAGAAAAGCAAGGGCAATTGATGCACAGGAAAAAATTACCACCTGCAAGTTCCCTTGCAAACTACACACCATCTTGACTTGTGCTCCTTCAATGTTGCCGGAATCCAGGAACTCCCTCCCAAAGAGCCATCACTTTCTCAACAGTTTTTAGTCTTGGCCAGCGCTGAACAAAATAAGACAGAGGGACAAAAGGGCGATGGAGGGAGGAAGAGATAAGAATGAGAGGAGAGGGAGAGGAGATGAGTATGTGAGGAGAGGGAGGGGAACTTTCTTCAGTTTTGACATGAGGGCTGTTACAAACTCAGCTGATGGCACTTTTGAACAAGTCAGATCCTACAGTGAAACCTGGCTTGATAGATCCAACATTATAATCTTACAACTTCGTTACGTAATAGTCGATCGCTATACATATTCATAGAAGGCTGCCAATGTACTTTTAACAAAAGAACAAAAGTTTATTACGCACAAGGAAAAACGTGAGGACAATTTGATAAAATATTATTATAAATAACAAAAGAAAGATTCAACCTTTTTCCCTGCAATATACTTTATAGAACTGAACCCAATGAAGTATAACGCCTAACTTCATTTTTTAAAATTTCTTACTCAACTGTTGAGATCACAAGCATTTCTTTTTGGTGGCTTTCTCTGCACATTCACCAGATGTGATTCTCTCTGTGTCTCCCTGAGACATTCAGGCACAGGCTAACTCATTGAATTTCTCACTGAACTCTAAAGAAAAGAAAATTCAGGGCTTATTCTAATTACTTTGACTCCTTTGAGGCTGCTGAACAGCTGATCTATTGCCATGACTCTTTCCTTCTGGACTGAACTTGCTTTGGGCTTTTTCTCTGGGTTGAAAAACTCAATTTAATAAACACGTCAGCAATGATCAACCAGGCAGCTTGCCTAGTTGTTTAGCTTAAGTCACATGATTTCTTAGAAATGCAGTTTTGATCCAATGTTTCTGACCCTTCCAACAAAGAAAAGTCACCTTTGCAGAACTAAAACCCAAAACCCCATTTACCTCTATGTATGAACTCAAGTTGAAAATAACAATATGTTATGAACTTTCATCATATGAGAAAAAATAATTTTCAAGTAAATGTGGGGAACAGAAAGAGGATGCAGTAAGGATGTAGAGATTGAGCATGGAATAAACACTCCCAAAAGTAAAGGCACAGTCTGCTCCAAAAATGCTACACTAAGCAAACCAAGCTTGCAATGGTATGAAGAGATCAAGTGTAAAGAACCTGACCGTTCAGTTACTAGGCATGGATTTTAATTGAGTTTACGAATCTTAGCTGCTATTATGCACCTCATAGAACTGGCAGATGGGCACAGCAGGATTGCTGGAGTGCTGCATTCTGATGTGTGATGCAGTCAGGCTGCGACATTTGCCATCAACCTCCTTTCCAAACCTCTGAGAACTGACCTGTAAATAGCAAGATAAAAATCAAACCACAGAAGAACTGCATTTTTTTTTATAAAGTAGAGAAAAGTTGCAACTCTACAGCAAATTTTCTCATAATATTTCACCCAACTAGTTTCAAACTGCAGGCACTAATGTGAAACTTCTTCACAGTTCTGAAAATTATTGATTACTCATTTGAAAGCCACGATTGATATTACGTCCATCTCTGGCGGCAGAGAATCTAACCATCGTCTTTGACATTCAATGGCATTACCATTACTGGATCCCTCATTATCAACATCCTAGGATATACCAATAACTGAAATGGACCAGCCATATAAATAAATAATGTAGCTACAAAAGCAGGTCAGTGACTAGAAATCCTGCAGTGAAAAACTCACTTTCTGTCTCCCTAAAGCTGGTCCAACATCTACAAGGCGCATGTCAGAAATATGATTGAATACTCCCCACTTGCCTGGCTGACTGCAGTTCCAAGTACACTCAAGAAGCTTGACACCATTTGGGACAAAGCGGTCCAGCTGAATTGTGACCCATCCACCACCTTGAATATTTGCTCCCTTTATGACCAACGCACAGTACCAAATGTGCATAACATCTGTAAGATGCACTCCATTATCTCACCAAGGCTTCTTTGACAGCACGCTCTGACAGTGCAGCAGTCCCTCAGCATTGGCCCTATGACAGTTTGATTGTCAGTCTTAATTCTGCACTGAAATCCCAAAATTGGGATTGAAACCATGGTCTTTTGACTTTTAACAAGAGTTAGGAATTGGAACTTTAGAGTTAGGTTTTTACCCACTGGGATTTGCACTTCTAGTAAAGTAGCTTATTCCCTTTCAGACTTCAGTCAGCAGGACCAGCAAGGCAGATATTCAATGGGTTGCCGCAATGGAAAGGCCACCCTAGTCTTTGATGTGCTTCAGTTTCACTGGCCCCATCCTATCACCTTGTGGAACTGACCTGTCAGTTCAGAGCATGAAAATGATGGGGATCCAAAGTGCACGTAAAGATCTGCTTCTTCAGCAGTCAGAGAGCATTGTTCAGCAAAACTAACCTCTGGGTGGATGCAGAGATTCTTCCTGGAGCTCAGAGCCAGAGCCAAGAACTGGATCTTCTCGCCAGACTGTTTCTCGTAATAATTGAGCAGCTTCCGAAGCTCCTCAATGACCTGAGAAGATTGGGGTGGGGGCGGCAGTTAAGGGAAACAGGGTGAGAGGGAAAGGGAAAAGGGAGTGGAGGGGACAGAAACAGAGAGTGTGCGAGAGAGAGAGAGAGAGAGAGAGAGAGAGCAAGAGAGAGAGAGAGAGGGAGGAAGAACACATAAAACAAGAGAGTTTTTTTTTAGAAAACAGGTTTGCAATGTACAGAAAGTTTGCCATAAATATCATCATTTTTAAATGAACACAACAAACTGCAGCACTCATAAATGAAGGTGTTAGATTTTGGCAACAGAGACTGCCAACAGATCATTCGAAGCACATCCCTGGCAAGTGTCAACATAATGTTTCTTCACCCCTGCCACCACCCAAGATCAAGAGGGCTGCATTTTAACTTTCGCAGCTACACCCTCCCTCTCACTGACTCTTTCATTCAGCGATGAGGTCACATAGTAACATTAAGTTCTGTATTTGTGTTGACATGCAGAACTTTAATTCACAGAAGAATTTCAACAATCGATATTCTCAATAAATATCAATCCCCTGTTCAAGTTAAATGAAAACACTACCATATTTAAATTGACACAAGACAAGAACCATCAGCAATAGAAGGTTTTTTTTTCCAATAACTGGCTCACACTTCATAAGAAGCTCATTGATTTGCAAGAGATTCATAACCTGTGACGTGAAACTTTTCTAGTTCCAGTTAGCAAGGCATTCCTTTGCTGACAGACCCTCTCCCCCCACCTCGGTCTCCTATTCACTTTGTCCCTCTCCCCTTTCTCGGTGCAACTTCTTGCTTCACCCAGTAAACTGTCTACCGCCCCCTACAGATTTTCCAGTTCCACTTAGGAAAGCGATAATGTTTCACATCAGTGCTCCCCCCACCTCCCTGAAAACTGCGACTCATTTTCTCTCTAAGTTTGACCACTTTTGGGACATTCTCTACCCTCTCCCCAGCTGCCGTATATTTTGAGCAAAGATCCTGGGTGTGTCCAAGATCATCAAAATTTATATGTTGGAAATAGAATCAACTTCACAAACACAATGAAAATAATACTGCTGTTAACTGTGAGAGGAACTAAGCTTGGCCTCCGTGTCTCTAGGACAGAGAAAAGCAAGTGGTAAGGATGAGGAAGCTCTTTCACTGAAACTGTGACTGATTTGCAGTGTATACAGTGATTGTTAAAAAAGGAGGATTTCACAAATTGCTCCTACCTTCTCGATCTCAGGAACTGTTCGGGAGCAGTAGATCAGCTTAGTCACTTCTGTTGGATACATCTAAAAGGAAAGAGGAAGGCAGTAACGTGAGAATGTATACAGGGCCTCTCTCACACAGAAAGACAATGGATACAGACAGATACAGAGAGATTATTACTGAATTGAACTGGATCCCAAACACAGCACAGACACATCAATTTCTACTAATACCCAGACAGCAGCCTGCACTGAAGGAACTTCAGCCAGAGCAAATCATCCAGTCAGCTGAGCAGAGAAGGATCATGGGTGATACCTGTAGGTGAACTTCAATAGTGTGAAAGGGTTAAACTGTTTCCCAAGAACTGGTGGCACTGGCATGTTTCAGTATCAATGTACAGAACACATTCTTTCAAACCATCCATGCCCTTTACCCATACCGCTCCCACATTCTGTCCACCCACACCAATAACTTGGTCTGTACCCACGTTTGGCTCCATTCACAATCACCCATAGGACAACTGCAGCTACATGCACATGTTAGTTATGCATGTAGCATGTTACTATACAGAAGCTCAGGGAGATCAAAGATGCCTCTCGATCACTAAATATATTGTTCTTACAAACAGAATAAAGAAGCCAATGAAACTGTATTTGGTACATTCAGACATTCGGGTGGCTGATGTGGTGCTATTATTTAAGAAAGGTGGCAAGGAAAAGCCAGTGAACTACAGACCGGTCATCCTGATGTCAGTGGTGGTTAAGTTGTTAGAGGGGAATCTGAAGGGCAGGACTTACATGCACTTGGAAATGCAAGGAATAATTAGGGATAGTCAACATGGCTTTGTACAGGGGAAATCATGTATCACTAACTTGATTGAGTTTTTTGAAGAGGTGACAAAGAAGACTGATGAAGGCAGAGCAGTAGATGTTGTCTATATGGACTTCAGCAAGGCATTCAACAAGGTTCCACATGGTACACTGATTAGCAATGTTAGATCACATAGAATCCAGAGCTAGCCAATTGGCTTGAAGGTGGTCGTATAGGATTGTTTGTCAGATGGAAGCCTGTAACCAGTGGTGGGTCGCAAGGATTGGTGCTGGTCCACTGCTTTCCATCATTTATATAAATCATTTGGATGTGAATATAGAGGGTAGCGAGCTTGCAGATGACAGCATAATTGGTGAAGTAGTGAAGAAAGTTAACTCAGAGTACAATAGGGCCTTGATCAGGTGGGCCAATGGGCCAAGGAATGGCAGATGAAGTTTAATTTAGATGAATGTGGGGTGTTATATTTTGGTAAGGCAAACCAGGCAGGACTTATACAGTTGAAAACCGAAAGAACTGCAAATGCTGTAAATCAGGAACTAAAAAGCAGAAGTTGCTGGAATTGCTCAGCAGGTCTGGCAGCATCTGTGAAGAAAAAGAATCAGAGTTAACGCTTCGGGCCTGGTGTCCCTCCCTCAGAACAGGGAAACTTATACAATTAATGGCAAGGCCCTAGAAAGTGTGGCCGAACAAAGAGATTGAGGGGTGTTGCTGCATAGTTCCTTGAAACTGGAATCACAGGTAGACAGAGTGGTGAAGAAGGCATTTAGCACACTTCTCTTTATTGGTCAGTGCATTGAGTATAGGAGTTGGGAGGTCATGTTGCGACTGTACAGGACATTGCTTAGGCCACTTTTAGAAGAGCACATTCAATTCTGGTCTCCCCACTATAGGAAAGATGTCATTAAACTTGAAAGGATTCAGAAAAGATTTACAAGGATGTTGCCAGGATTGGAGGGTTTGAGCTATAGGGAGAGGCTGAATAGACTGGGGCTATTTTCCCTGGAGCATCAGAGGCTGAGGGGTGACCTTACAGAGGTTTATAAAATCATGAGGGGCATGGATAGGATGAATAGCCAAGGTCTTTTTCCCAGGGTACGGAAGTCCAAAACTAGAGGGCACAGGTTTAGGTGAGAGGGGAAAGATTTTAAAGGGACCTGAGGGGCAACTTTTTCATGCAGAGGGTGGTGTGTGTACGGAATGAGCTTTCAGAGGAGGCGGTGGAGACAGGTACAATTACAAATTTAAAAGGCATCTGGATGGGTACATGAAAAGGAAGGATTTAGAGGGATATGGGCCAAATGTTGGCAAATGGGACTAGATCAGTTTAGGATAACTGGTCAGCGCAGACAGGTTGAACATAAGGGTCTGTATCCATGCTGTGTGACTCTCATCTCAGCTTTATATACATTTAATAGAAATTCATGTGGAAATGCAACTTAACCCTTCCCTCCCTGACCCACCCAGCCCTGTGAAGAAAGCATCATTCTCACCATCTGATAGGCCACAATCAGTGAAAGCAGTGACACAGTCTTCCCCGTGCCCGATGGCATTTCCAAGACCCCATGTCCCTAAAATACAGGAAGTGACAGCAAGTTTGAAACAACAAGACACAATCAGCAAACAGCATCAGCCAAACAGGCTGTCAAACGTGAAAAACAAATCCTGGTTCAACAGCAATTCAATTCTAAAATTCTCATCCTCATGCTCAATTCCTTCCACCATGACACCTCTCCCAATCTGCAGCCTTGTGCTTTTGAACATATTGAAAAAAGTCACATTCTAATAAAGGATGTATTAACACATGAGGACTGAATCTATCTCACCCCTCCCAGTTTATTATATCTATGAAGGAGAAATCAAGTTTGACAAACCTGCTGAACTTATTGAAGCATGTACCTAACAGAATACATGAGGCAGAACCATTAGATATGGTATATTTAATTTACAGAAAGCTTTCAATAAAGTTCCACATAACAGGTTATTGTGCAAACAAAAACAGATTCAAGAACAGCTTCTTCCCCGCTGTTGTCAGAATTTTGAATGGATCAGTTTAATGTTAATGTTGATCTCTCTCTCCACCTTCTCAGCAGCTGTAACACTGTATCCCACACTCTGTCTTGTCACCCTGATGCACTTGTATAGTACTGTACAGCACATAAGACAACAGTTTTCACTGTACCTTCGTATACATGACAGTAATAATAAGCCAAAAGTTAAAGCACATGGTGATGATAATCTGGGCATGGATTGAAATTTGGTTCAGAAACAGAGTATGAATAAGGCGATAACAAGTGGTTACAACAAGGATCAGTGGTCTGCCTCCAGTTTTTCACAATATCCAACAATTTGGATAAAAGAATCAAATTAGTATTTCTAAATTTGCTGACAACACCAAACTAGGTGGGACTGAGAGTGCTGAGGTGTGTGTAAAGAGGCTTTAGGACGATTTAGACAAAGAACGAGTGGTAATTGCATGGCAGATGCAGTCTAATGTGATTAAATGTGATGTTGGTCTTTTAAGAAAAACAGAATGGCAAAGTACCATTTAAATAGAATAGGCTGGGGAAGATTAATGTACAAAGGACCTGGGTGTCCTTATAAACTGGTCATTGAAAGTAAACGTGCTGACGTAGCAGGCATTTAGGAAAGCAAACAGTATGATTAAGATTTGAGCATTCTGTAACAAGTTACCTTAGCATCAAGAATCCTCTTCAGCTCCAACATGTAGGAATACTGCTCAGGGTAGATGAAATCGTAAGGGAAATGCACCAACAATCCATCAATATTCAATCTGAGGAAACAGAGAAAAACATTGCCATCTAGATGCTGATTACAGTATATTTTAATTCATAAATACTGCTTTAAGATTTTGTAACATTTTATCTTGCCCTGGAATCAACCTAGTGACCCTTCTCTGGACTGCCTCCAGTGCCAGTGTACCATTCCTCAGATAAAGAGGCACAAAAATCTTCAATGTTTCACGTATGTCCTGTCTAGTTACTTGTACAGTTTTAGCAGTCTTTCCATTTTGATATACTCCATCCCCTTTGAAATAAAGACCAACAAACCATTTGCTTTCCCTATAACCTACTAAATTGTAAATTAGTATTTTATGATTTATGTACAAGGATATTCATATGTTACAGCTTTCTGCTGTCCTTCTCCATTTGAATAACATTCAGCCTTTTTATTTTTCTTGCTAAAGTGTATTCTCTTATATTTTCCCACATTAAGCTACAACTTCCAAGTTTTACCCACTCATTTAGCTTGTCCACATCCTTCTATAGCCTCTAATCATCACTCACCCTCCCACCTAATTTGTGTCATCTCCAAACTCAGTGATAGTACATACAGCGTGGGGTTAGATAACAGAATAAATTTCTTCTGCTTAGTAAACACAAAGTAAAGCTTCTTCTACACAGTCTTCATCAAACAATCCCAGGGCAGGTACAACACAGAATTAAATAAAGAGTAAAGCTGCCTCTACTCTTTTAAACTGAAAGTAAACCAAGTAAGGCTCCCCTGACACTACCCCTATTAAAAAGCTGTTTTAACAGATACATCATGGGGTTGATACAGAGTCTTTTAAACGGAAATTGAGGCCCCTTTACACTGTCCACATCAAGCACTCCAAGGACAGGGGCATCACAGGGTTAGAAACAGAATAAAGCTCCCTCTACTCCTTTAAACTGCAAGTAAATGTCTCTTGACACTGTCTCCATCAAACACTCCCAGGTCAGGCACAGCATGGGGTTAAATACTGAGTTAAAGTACCTGCCATCTTCTCATTTAAACTGAAAGGAAACCTTCCTCTACATTGTCCCCATCAAACACTTCCAGGACTAGAACAGCACAGGGTTAGACACAAAATAATTCTCTATCTACTGTTTTAAACAGAAAGTAAGTGTCCCTCAACAATGTCCTCATCAAAAAACCCCAGGGCAGGGATAGCACTGAGTTAGAGAGAGGATAAAGCTCCTTCTAAACTATGCCATTAAGTACTTCCAATTTGCATCCAAGTTGTACTTCAGTTAATGTCACATGAAACCCCAACTTATCAAAAGTCTCAATTTGAAAAACGTGTAACATTGAGAATTTGAGAACACTGCTTTATCAAGTGATCGAGAATAAAGAAGGAATGGAACTCAACAACAATCTCCTTGCAGACAGGCCACGCTTGGATGTGAGGGTTACATAATTGGGAAAGGTTTCAATCAGCAGTGAAGGTACTACCTCAGGAACTATTCACTTCTCCCTCCATCTCCCCCTCTCCTTCATACCACCGCCCCCCCCTTTCTCTCTATAACTCCTCT